AACAAGGAATGGGGTGATTTAAGAAATTACAGCACTGGCATTTTTTTTTAAGCTTTTACAGAATAAACATAGAGAATAGGAGGGAAACTTTGTCCCCCTCTGCTCCTGTTCTTGAAGTGAATACATATTTGTGTTTGCAATAAAAGGCCATTTTTACATTAACTGTCTGTAACAGCAGGAGACAGAAAAACTAACACAATCTCCACATCATACACAGGATGATCTTCATATCACGTGGACCTATTCTCAAAACTATTATTTATAAAAGATGACTAGGAAAATGCACAATGCATCTTTTCTGTGTCACCACAAGGGTAACGTCTAAAGAAGTTTGGGATCTTTGGGATCTTGTACATTTTAGATTTTTGTTTTTTCCTTTTGGCTTTCCTTAGTAAATTTAGCAGCCATGCGGGCCACTATGTTTAATTAAGCTTTCAAAAGTCCTGACAATGCCAACAATTGTAGGACACTTCTGCGGCTCAATCATGCAATCACTGTGACAGTTCTATTTACAATTTGTCTTAGAAAGAGTTTCTCTGACATTGTACTTTGACAAAACATCCAAGCTGCCAGTTCACAACCTTTCTCTGTCTTATTTACAAATACAGCTTGTATATAGGACTCCCAGTTTCATGAACATGGATCTTTGGAGAGTGGCCTCGCACACATAGGCTCCCTATGAAAATCCTAGGTCTTTATTAGGAAACAATATTCTCTACTCGCTGGATTCTGAAGATAAATAAAATGTTCACCAGTATATTGTTTTTTGGTAGTGGTGGTTCTTTTTTTGTTTTGTTTTAACTGCCATGCTGAAAATTCACTTCAGAGGTCAGTCATTTTTATTCAGAATTGCATAAATAAAGAGAAAAGAAAAATAAGTAGTCATAATAGCATACTATAATTTATAGTCTCATTTATAATTACACCATAAGGTACACAAGTACATCCTCCACTTCAGTCTGAGCTAGGAGAGAATCAGAATGGATACAAAAAAAAGGTGAGTTGATTTTCTAAATTCTGAAAAGCATATTATATTTGATTTACTTTTAAGTAGCATACTAATATATTTCCATTTGGAATTGGTAAATCCCCCTTCTTTAGAGTATCTGTCTGATATATCATTATCTAAATATCAGCTACACTGTCTAGGCAAATAATTTTAAATACCCTGATATAAATGTCTATTTTCATGATTCTAAAGAGAAAAATGTTATATATCAACAGCAGCAGACTTTACTACATTTTATAGGACTTGTCATATTTTTTCTCTATTCTCTCAAAAAGCTAACTTTATGACAGCCCAAACCTAATTTAAAGATTCCTATGTGCAATAAGCCAAAACCTCAAATCTGACATGATGGGATAATGTTTGGGTCTTTTCTATAATGGAACAGTACTTTCACATTCAGTAATCTTCGATGAATATTTCCCCCATCATAAAATATCAGACTAAAACAAAACAAAACAAAACCCCTACTGAAAGCTCTGACTGCAAGTCAAAGGCTGCTGATATCTGAGGGTGGATATTTGACACACATATTGATGAACTGGGCCCATACAACATAAGCTGTTAATTTCCAGCTAAATTAATACTATTTCAATGATCTCAATGGATCACAATCACACAATATTTTTAATATTTAAATAAAATGAAAAAAGCAACCTGATCAACATCTATGTGTACAGCTCATATGTGTATGTGGATGAGGCAGGGGAGCACGTGCCCATCTATTCACCAGGTAAAAAGAATCCTCTCTGAAAAATACTCGGCTTGGGCCAGGCACTGTGGCTCACCCCTGTAATCCCAGCACTTTGGGAGGCCGAGGCAGGTGGATCACCTGGGGTCAGGAGTTCGAGACCAGCCTGGCCAACATGGTGAAACCCTGTCTCTACTAAAAATACAAAAAACTAGCTGGGTATGGTGGTGCATGCCTGTAATCCCAGCTACTTGGGAGGCTGAGGCAGGAGAATCGCTTTAACCCGGAAGGCAAAGGTTGCATGAGCCGAGATTGCACCACTGCACTCCAGCCTGGGCAACAAGAGCAAAATTCCGTCTCAAAACAAAACAAAACAAAAAAAAAACCACTCAGCTTAGAGAGGCCTGAGTACAGTTAAAATGCATACCATTTTACTCAAGATTTAAAGAACTCTGCCTTATTCTCCTATCTGAAAGCCTGAATTCTAAGCTTTATTTATCTTAGGAAGAAGATCTGTCACTGTTTTATTCTTGCTTCCTGTCTATAAAATGGTACAGGCTCACAGTGAACTCAAATCCAACTTACATCACTTTAATAAAGCCTTTCCTACCCAGCATGCTTAAATGACTACCTTTTATGTGGTTGCCAAACATATTCTTCTAGAGATTCATCAATATATCTCTTTCCTTAATACAAAGCATTGCTTCTCCTTTCTTTTTGTGACACAATTCAAATATCTACTGAATGATTACTGTTATTGTTTCCTTCCTCATCATAAAAAGAAAAGCAGACTTGGAATTGTGGAGACGTGCTTTAGAGAAATGGGCTGGGGGTACACACACAGCCGTCTTCCAGAACTTCACTTCAGGGGCACCTGAGGGCCAGAGCATCGGAATTTATGTGCAATGGTAGAATGTTAATTTCACCATAGGAAACTCTTAATTCATTACTGTGAATTATGAGAAGTCGTGATTCTAGTTGCTGACATCTCACTTTGAGATGTGACCACACTATTTATGTTCAGCCAATTCCAGGGTGGGAACAGGTGATTAAACACAGTGAAAGAAATCAAGACTTCGTAATTATTCATGCATGAAAGGTTTACCTCACCTAGGTCGCAGCACTTGTTGTGCACCCATTGAATAATCTTAGATATCTTAGAGAGCTTTCCGTCCCAGTTAAATGATTGGTTATTAGCTCTATAAAACATATTTTAAATATGCTTTTGGTTTTGGCTTCTCCAGGCTCTGCTATTGTACTCATTCTTTTAAAAAATAATAACAGAACCTTCAGACAACCAGGGAGTTCAAGCAAATATCTTTTATTTCCCTACATAGATTCACAACTACAGCAGTAAAAGCCTTAACTATACGTAAGGCCTTCTCCCCAGCTTTTAGATTCTTCCTCTAAATACAAAGGCACAGAGTTTTTGAGCTGGTTAATCTGAGACTGAATAACCTATTTGGGACCTCAGTAAGAAGTGTGGTTTTAATTCTTGCTTGACAGACACTGTGTTTTGTCTTTTAAACGAGCAGCTCGATATGTAAATACGATGTTACATCACGCAAGTGTTACTCCATATTTGGTGATTTAGCAAGGCTTTGGATCTCCGAAGACGACAAATCCCCTTCCGCCTGCTCTTGCTTCATTAATCATGCCTTACACTTCTGTTCATTTTCCTTCCAGTCACAAGACAACACATGGAAATGGTCATTCCTATAGCCTACTGGGGGGAAGGGGAGATAAAATCTTAACCTACATGTCACATAAGGTAAATGTGGTGGATTCAAGAAATACACTCTGCAAATGCAGCTTCCCTGGCAGCAGATTTCTCATTTCACTAAAGGGAAAGTATCTGAGTGCTATTACAGAAAGCATTTTAAAAAGAAAGAAAATGCCACATTTCGTTTCAATGATCAAATTCTAGATGGGGAGAGGAGAAATAATATGACATTTAATCCCCTCTGGACCACTGACCTATTATGGTTCAACTTTGTGGTCAAACTAGGTCCGAGAGATAAGTTCCAGTGAATCAATTGACGATATACACTACCTTTCCTAAAACTGAAGAAACCTCTTGCCTTTCGGGAGATGGGTGGGGGGTTGATGGAAGAAAGTGATCTACTAACAGGCATGGCACATCAGTCATCACAGAATCTGCATTGACTTTGTCTAACGTATTCAATCAAAAAATGTTTTGAGGGTCACTATAAAGCGTTCTGTTTATTACTTAGAGCAGGGAATTTAAGTCTCACTGCTAGCCTTTAATGCCTTTTCCCTTGAGCTGCCGAGAAAGCCACACACCTAGCTACCTCCCTGCTAAAATTAACCGAAGGAGGGAGGGCTGTTGAATACGTGTGTGTGTTTTTCCAAGAAAATTTTTACATTGTGTTATAGCAGAAACAGTGGAGTCTGGACTGGACATTTGTAAGGGTGACATGTGGCTGTGTAAACCACAAACAAAATCAAGATACATCTGTCAAAACCACATCAGAGACAAGAGAGAGCACAGAGAAGCATTTATCATTTAGCTGAGGAGGCAGGCTGCAGGGAGCAGCCGTTCCTGTCAAACCAACCTTTTGAAATTTCCAACATGCCCTTAAACTTTTCGAGTAAGCATGTCTGTGCGCTTCAGCAACTGCCCTCTCTACTCTGGCCTGGCCAGTCGAAAATGGCATCTTAAAGTCAAGGTCATGGTGTCATCCCACCACGGGGCTGTGTTTAATTACAGCCCCATCCGGGCTGACAGCCAATATGGATCCAAGGCTAGCCCTGAAGCTCAGTTAACTCTTTCCACCTCCTCCAACTACCCTGCCAGCCCACCCTACTTCAGGGATGCCTTGAGAACGAGCTGAACCCCTAAGGAGGCCTAACCAGATGTTCTGAGTCAAACAAGTCATTGGCTGAACTGTAAATGCCTATATGGCCAATTTGCCTCTGACACGTCACCAAGGCTGGAAATGGACAATGGAAGCTGGACTAGATGTAGTAAAGACCAATACTTCAAAATGAGAAGGTGGGGACAGGGAAGAAAAGAAATCCAAAATCAACGGACCCAGAGAGAGAGTGTCTGGTGTGTGTACCTATTCTGCCTACATCTGATTTGGTGAGGTGGAAAATATTTATTTTTCCATGTTCTGGACTTAAGCAATAGAAATGATTGTTTTAACATTACAGGGCTGTCATGGACAGTCACATGGAGAAATAGAGAAAGCACTTCACCACTCCTTACTGCTTGGCTACAGCATCTCTGAAAATGAAAAGAAAACATGCAAACAGCTTTTCTCCTTGCTTCTCATTTACCTGCTATGTGTTCCTGTTTGGGGCAAATTCCTCTAGATGACGTTGATAAACAATCGTCATCCTCTGGCGTGACCTGGATGCCAACCTCCACGGGATTGGTTGCTTTTTTCATCTCGATTGGTGAAGGGGAAGGTGGCTTATCCACAGCTTTTTCTAAGCAGAGGCTGCCATTGCATTGTTTCCGTTTGTGCTCGATAAAAATAAGAATGTCCCCCAATGGGAAGTTCATCTGGCACTGCCCACAGGTGAGGAGGTCATGATCCCCTTCTGGAGCTCCCAACGGGCCGTGGTCTGGTTCATCATCTGTAAGAATGGCTTCAAGAGGTTCGGCTGTGGTTGGAGAAACAAAAGCACAATTATTAGACAGCCAGAGAGGAGAGAAAAGGGGGAAAGCACATCTCAGCCCCATGCCATCCCACCACATCATGTAAAGTGTTTCTAGGTTTCTCTATGTAATACCCAGAAAATGTGAGCATACAAAATGGAAAAGGATGTGAAGGTTATCAACAAGCGAGCAAATTTATCAATGAGGCAAATCATCATGTATGTAAAGAAAACAGTCTCACTTCATAACTCCAGAGAACACACACACACATTTACACATGCACATACACACAGCAACAAATGTGTCTCGTTTGTAAGTTTAGAAAGAATGCTACTTAAATAGTTAACACAGGGAACATAAAGAAAGCTTAAATAATAACTACAAGAAAAACTGGTTAAAAAAAAAAAACATGGATAGAAACCAAATTTTTTTCTTTTTTCCTGTACACTAAGTTGTCCATTGTGCCAAAGAATGAAAGAAGAGGTGAATAAACACACACACCCTTTGTGTGTGAATGTATATACTCCTAAGTATACAGACATGCTTCATAAATTAGAAAGCTACTATGTCACACGAAAAATGTGCCACATTTACACTGCCGTAATACAAAAATGACTGCGTGTACCTAGGAAAAGGATCTAAATAATAATCATGTCGCAGCATAATTCACACTGCCAAAAACCTTTCTGCTCTCACTCTCAGCAGTGCCACAAAATCAAAGAAATACCAAATTCACTGGCAATACTTCTCAGACACATTAGCTAAATGGGATACTTTTGAGTACTTAAGAAAATAGGCCAATTAGTCATTTTTTTTTATTCTGAGAAAAGGAATGCCTAAAATATTCTAAACATGTTTGCATTTGGTGCCATCCATGACTAAAAATCAGAATGGTCAAGCAAACACCACATTTTAGAGCAAGGCTGAGAAGTCCTTTCTTTAGACTTGAAATACTTCACCTAATGTTTTCAAAGTTGACTAATTTTCTGAATGAGCTCCAAAATGCTTCATTATGAGACTATTTCTGCACACATAATCACCAGCGGATGGTATAACAAGGTAGACATGTCTTTCTTTCCTGTTTGCTTTTTTTTAACTTTGCACCAAAATACTCCAGCATCTACTTTACCAGCTTCTATCATTTTTTAACCTTCCGAAGGGGAAAAGAGAGTTGGTAAGTCTCTGCTTGTGAAACCTTATGCTTGCTCTATCAAAAAAAACCAAAAAATCACAAAATACAAAACACATCCAGGATGCTGCCAGTTAATAAAACGGAAGCAGAAAATGTACAAGTCTTAAACAGTTAATCAGTCTGACCTTCTTTAGCAAGCTGCCAATTTCACATTTAATGAACTTAAAGCCACAGAGAATCAAAAAATAGATTTTAATTTGAGTGTAGAATATTGGAACAGATTTTGATAAAGTGCAAAAATCCAGTGAACTCAGGTTAAATTTATTTCAACCCTACCCAGGCTGAATATTGAGGGGGAAGATCTGGAGTAACTCCCAGATGTGCTAGGTGAAATAATATTGAGAGAGCCCTGCCTAGCTGCACCTGTGCTCAAGTAGGACATCTCATAATTTCTAGCCTCTGGTACTCCTCCTAATTTAACATAAGGTCACCACAGGAATATGAAGGTTATATTCCTACTAATAAAGACAGTAAAGTAAGCACTTATGTTTCTTTGCCCAACATACTGGCCAAAAGATAAATACAGAAAACATATGCATACTTTTCAAATAAAAGAAGACAAACGGAAATGCTTCTGCATTGTGCCTTTATGTCATTTTTCTCTTACATTTGCTTTCATTTTGGCCAAGTGAGGAATAGGGAACTCATTCTCCAAATATTCCTGTTGTCTGAATTAAGGATTTTAAGTACACATCTATAAATGTGGCTTTTTTGTTTAGCATTAGCTACAAGTTCTGAGGTTTACAGACTGAAGGGAGACTCAAGAAAATATTTTATTTTATCAAAGTTAGTAGCACATGGAACCTTTGCAAAAAAAAATTTTTTTAATTCCACCGTTAAGATTCATTTTTTTAAATTCCCAAGGCCTGTCACATTTCTAAAAGTGGGAATATTATTTAGGTGCAAAAGGAAATATTCTCCTAAGTATCAAATAGTTAAAGGTAATGTGGTTCAAAACAGACTTGGTTAAAGTCTTCTAAATGTAGTGACTGAACTGATTTACAATCAAAACCGGGAAATGAAGTGGTAATTCAGAGGTTGCTGATTACACCTCCACATTTCACCTAATTAATTTTATAGGAGGCAAAGTTCTTGAAAATAACAAGATGATCAAATGTACAGATATAAAACCTGTAACCTCAACATTTTCTATGCTCTTAACGTAAATTATTGCTAATTAACAAGAATTATATCCTAATGTATGAAATACATTTAACATCGGTCTCCTTGCAAAACATTTGGCTAGTCATGTTCAGAGAAATATCAAAATGTGTTTTTATTATTGCTGCTATATTCTTAAAAATCAGACAAAATGGGACACAAAGAAAATATGAAAATACAATTCTCATGGTGTAATCTACTGATTTGCATTGACATCTTTTCTCAGTGGCAATCAACATTTCCTTTCTGGGCATCTGATAATTTCTCCGCATTTTAATGCAAATTCCCTTTCCCTAAAAACCTTCCTAACCTCAGCCATTTACCCCCTCCCTCAATTCAACTCCATCCTCCTTCGCCCCAACAATACCAACGTTTCTAAGCTCCGGCCTAAACTCCGGCTACAAAGCAGGGAGTCCTCGATTGAAGTGGAAGGGAGTGGGCAAATAATCATAATAATTAGCCGCGAATTCTCTCTACGAGGGGAGGAAGAAATAGAAAATAAAATGCTTCTACGTTCAAACAGCAAGACAGCCTGGAACGTCTAAATGTCTCAGTGGCAGACTGAGATCTCTTTCCTCTCTGTGTAGTTGCGAAAGAATAAATTTAAGGAAAAAAATAATCCTTATAAGAAAAGTCGGTAAGGAGCGAGGGAAACGAGAGCTGCTGGGGAGCGGAGGGGGAGGGGAAAAGGGAGATGTGTCTTCAAGTTTGCTTTCCAAGTCCTTCCCCTTGATTGTTTTAGCCGGGTAAAAAAGCAAACGGAGGCTGAAATTCAGAGAGGAAAAGCAAAGAAACAAAAGCAAAGCCGGGGGCTACGAGCCTGGGGCAGGGGGCCTGGCAGGGGTGGACCGTGCAGAAAGTGAAGTTGGGCGCCGGGACTCAGGCACAAAGCGAGCAGCGTGCAGGCTGCAGGCTCCCGCCGCGCTTGCTGCGAACACGTGCAGCAGCGGCCGCGGGGCCTTGGGGCCCGGGGGCCAGAGGCGGAGGGCAGCCAGGGGCCCTGACTGCTGCCTCCGTGCCCGTCCAGCTCGGCCGCGGGGTGACGGTTCCCTGGGCCCGCCAGTTGGTGAAAAAGGACGTGAGGTTTGGAAAACCAGGCTGGTTAACCTGGTGGAGTCTCAGTATCTCCACGCACACCCCAAGCGCGGTTCCTGAAATTCATTCGGTGTCCACAAGCTTACACTTTTTACTTTGGGGTATCTCTGCAAATGCGTTTCTCCCGCAATTCTGGGCACTGGGTGTGCGCGCGGCGGCGGCTGCGGTTATTCAATATTAATGACGCTGTTTGCCCGCATCATTATGATGATAACTATTACTATTGTTGTGATTCCGAGCTCCGAGGCGAGAGCCACTGGAGGCGGGGAGGGGGGGTGTCGGGCTGCAGAGCCGCCGAGCAAGCCAGCCGAGGCCACCAAGGTCTGTGCTTTGCGTGGGGGTGAGGGGGTGGAAGAAGTGAGCCCAGAGACCAAGTGCAGACTTGCCAAATCCCCCACTTTGGCCATGCCCCGAAGCCCTAGAGCGCGAACTCCCCGTTCCTCCCTACCAAAAATGCCCGCCCCGAAAGAAAGCGAAAACTGCACCCGGCTCCCAGCCCGGCGCGCGCTGGTCTCAGCTCGCGCACGGGGGTGTCGGCCGCGCGCCCGGTCGCTTCTCCGCCACCCCGGCCAGAAGCATTTTAAAAGTCAAAATGAAGAACAAAGACATACGGGGTGATGGGGGAGAGAAAGGGAATTCAGCCTAACCGTTCCTTCCCCCCACCCCCACCCTCAAGCTCGTTCCTCCCCGGACGAGAATCGCCTGGCAGGAGGTGGGGGAGGCTCTGGTACAGGTTCAAGTTCGCTGAGCTTTCTTGATCTTGTTCTGCCTCCTAGCGACAGAATGGCTCATTCAGCCGACATAGCAGAAGCGGGGGGGGGGGGTGGTCCTGAGGACGGGGATGGCTCTTGCCCCCTCTGAGCGCCCAGAAAATGAGGAGAGAACTAAGTGGCCCCCTCACCCCCTTCTAAACTGGCCCTTTAACCCATTGCCGGCACCAGGACAGGAGGAGGGGGGACTAACCCTCCCAGCCTTGAGTGTCCCAAGATGGACCCAAGAGGGAGAGGCGTACGAGGCAGCAGCCTAGACTGCGCGCCCCAGTCCGTCCTTTGAGCCCCCACTGCATCCTTCCGAAGAAAGGCCTGGCTTTCCCGAGTCCTGCGAACACTGCCCTTCCTTCCCGCCGATACCTGGCCGGGCTGTAACTTCACACCGCCGCGCGCCGAGTCTGATCAGCATCCGGCGCGGCCGGGGGAGTGGGGGGCGGGGGAGAGAGGCGAGGGAGGGATGCGCGGGGGTGGGAAGAGGGAGGGCCCCGCAACGTGCCGGGGCGGGGGAGCTTCCGAAGTGTGTGACAAGTTCCAGGGCCC